TCTCGTGTCTCGTGCAGGTGCGGGGGAAGTTCCCCGGGGCAGGGGGATTATAGGCCGGCAGGGGCGATGAGGTGACCCCAGGAAGAGGCTACATCCGAGCGCGATTCGAGGTAGAGCGAGGTGACCCCCAGAAAGGAAAGCGTCCCGGCGATGGCTGTGACCCCGGGTTAGAGTGGGCTGTAGAGTTCAGGAGCAGGTCAAAGGTCACAGAGCGCTGGGGGGCGTGCTGGTCAACAAACCGACGTGATTGATAGTGACCTCCAGAACGTCTGTCTCAGAGGAGAGGGAGAGAGGGGGGGGGTGGAGGCAGGGAGGAGAGAGAGAGAGGAGAGAGAGAGAGAGAGGCAGCGAGGAGAGGGCTGTGAGGCAGGGGAGGGAGAGGAGAGGAGAAAGAGAGAGAGAAGGATGGAGGACGGAGGGAGACAAAGGGAGACGAGAAGTAAGTAGAGGAGGCAGAGAGAGAAGGGACGGAGAGGGAGGAGGAGAGAGAGAGAGAAAGAGGGGGGGGGAGAGAGAGAAAAGAAAGGGAGGGAAGGATGAGGAGATATATAGAGGAAAGAGGGAGAGAGAGAGAGAGGAGAAGAGAAAGAGAGAATGAGAGCCCGGAAGGGAAAAAAGACCAAAAAACTCTCTCTCTCTTTCATCTTCCTTCCCCTCCCCCCCTTTTCTCCTCCCTCTTTTGTCTCTCTCTCTCTTCTCTTCTCTTTCTTCTTCTCTCTCTCCTCTCTCTCCTCTTTCTCTCTTCTCTCTTCTCTTCTTCTTCCCTCTCCCCCCTCTTCTCTCTCTCTCTCTCTCTCTCTCTCTCTCTCTCTCTCTCTCTCTCTCTCTCTCTCTCTCTCTCTCTCTCTCTCTCCTCTCTCTCTCTCTCTCTCTCTCTCTCTCCCCCTCTTCTCTCTCCTCTCTCTCTCTCTCTCTCTCTCTCTCTCTCTCTCTCTCCTCTCTCTCTCTCTCTCTCTCTCCTCTCTCTCTCTCTCTCTCTCTCTCTCTCTCTCTCCTCTCTCTCCCTTCTCCACTCCCCTCTCTCTCTCTCTCTCTCTCTCTCTCTCTCTCTCTCTCTCTCTCTCTCTCTCTCTCTCTCTCTCTCTCTCTCTCTCTCTCTCTCTCTCCTCTCACCCCTCTCCCTCTCCCCCCCCTCCTCTCTCTCTCTCTCTCTCTCTCTCTCTCTCTCTCTCTCTCTCTCTCTCTCTCTCTCCCTCTCTCACTCACTCTCCCTCCCTCTCCCTCCCTCCCTCCCTCCCTCCCTCCCTCCCTCTCCCTCTCCCTCCCTCCCTCTCCCTCCTCCCTCCCTCCCTCCCTCTCACCCCCCCCTCCTCCCTCCCTCCTTCCCTCTCTCCCTCCCTCTCCCTCCCTCTCTCTTCTCTCTCTCTCTCTCTCGCTCTCATACTAATCCTCTTCCCGCACGTGATAATCCAGAGGAAGTGAACATCCCCCCGACAACCGTGCCGCTGATAAGGCCGACAGCGGAGTCGTCCTACCGAGAATATCATCGATCCCCGGCCGGTGTCGCTGGGGGGGAGGGGGGCAGAGAGGGTGAGGGGAAGGAAGGGGGGAGGGGAGGGGTGGAGGGGGGCAAAGAGGGCAAGGGGAGCAAAGAGGGGTGATGAGGGTGGCAAAGAGGGAAGGAGAAGAGGGGGGAGGGGGGCCAAGAGGGGTGAGGGGAAGGTTGTGGGGAGGGAGGGAGGGGGAGGGGGGTGACGGGAAGGGAGACGAAGGTTGTGGGGATGGGGGGGGGCAAAGAGGGGATGAGGGGAAGGGGGGCCAAGAGGGTGAGCGGGAGGAAAGGGGGCAAAGAGGGGTGAGGGAAAGGAGGGGGGCAAAGAGGGGTGAGGGGAAGGGGGCCAAGAGGGTGAGGGAAGGGGAGAAAGGTTGTGGGTGGGTGGGAGGGGGAGGGGGTAAGGGGGGGCAAAGAGGGGTGAGGGAAGGGAGGAGGTTGTGGGGGGTAGGGGAGGGGAAGGAAGGGGGGCAAGAGGGGTGAGGGGAAGGAAAGGGGGCAAGGAGGGTGTGAGGAAGGAAGGGGGGCAAAGAGGGGTGAGGAAGGTTTGGGAGGAGGGGGGGGGAGGGGGTAAGGGGGCAAAGAGGGGCAAAGGGGGCAAAGAGGGTGAGGGGAAGGAAGGGGAAGGTTGTGGGGAGGGAGGGGGGGAGGGGGGCAAAGAGGAGTGAGGGGAAGGGGGGGGTGAGGGGCGCAACAGGAAGCGAGGACGGACTGCCTGCTGTTGCATTTTCTCGTCGGTTCATTGATTGCCAAAGGCATAAGGCTCGGCGTTGGAGTGCATGGTCTGCCGGGGGGGGGGGGGGGGTGAGAGGGTCTGTAGGTGAGTGAAGGGTGCGTGTTTTCTGTGTGTTTTGGGGAGTATTGTGCGTGTGTGTGTGTGCGTGGTTAACGTTAACAAAATTTTATATTTTG